GTTGGTTGTGTCCAGCTAAGACCTGACTTGGATGGGGTGAGGGATCGAGTCCATAGTTTTGAACATAACTGTTAGTTTCAACTTCTAAAAACTTGAGCCGTCATCCACCATTTATACTTCTTTAAATGAAAAATTGAGCCAAATATTTCTTAGTGTGCTAAATGTTTGATTTCCTAACTGTTAGTTTCAGTTTTAGCTTGTATGAAAACTTGAGCCAAATTATCTGCATAAACAAATATGAGTTGCTTGTGTGATATCAGTACTTGTAGGATGACTCGCCACCAAATAAAACAAAAACATTGTTTACAAGGAAGCATTCAATAATTTATAAATTTTTTAATTTGTCCTACCTGTTTACATTTGTTAGTTGTTACATATACACCAAGTCTATTAAATTTAATATTCAATATTAAAAAAAAATTAGAAACTATAACATCTCATGCGCATCGCACGGGCCATACGACTAGTTTGGGTTAAAAGAGATATTCTTGGTTTGGGTCACTTCCATGTTGTCTGGGTTTTAAAATCTATATATATATAAAAAAAAAAAAAAAGTTTTTATTTTTTAAATAGTAGCTATTTTCCTCCAAAAAATCTATTTACGATTTCGGGAAATAATTTAACAAATTATGGTATATATCAAATGATCACTTTTGGAAACTGCGGCTCATTATTTAAGGAATTAATTAAGCCATATTTTAAGATACCTTAATTACTCAAATCATGTGAATTAATTAATAAATGGTATAAAGTAGGCGAATTTATTTTTGCTATTGATGGATGTTTCTATAGAAAAAAAATTAATCAATATATGGTATAAAATGAGCAAATTTATTTAGGTTATTTGATGACTATTTTTTGCTAGAAAGTTTGTTAAAGATTAATCAATATACGGTGTTTTTTTTTTCCTGTAATGCGGAAGTCAATATATTGGTTTTAGGCGTGGGTTTAAATTTTTTCATATGACACTAATACAATAAAATTACCGTAACTCCGAAAAAATAATATGAACGAATATTTTGATATAATGTGTGTGTATCAATGTTATTTCTTTATAGAAAAAGCTCTGATCATTTTTTTTTTTTTTGTATAATTAGTGGATCTCAATTTAAGTCATTTTCTGTTACGACATTTCAAATAATTTTTGTGTAAAACGCATTGTTCATTTTTTTTAGCATGATAAGGAGTACTGTCAATTTTTTCGGCATAAAAAATCTTATGACTGATTGTTTTTATTCAACTACTTAAATACTTTATTTGGATATTTTATACAACAATAATTCATTTTAATTAATGAAACAGTATAGGTTTTATATTTATACTTATTATTCACATAGGTCTTTAAATATATGACAAAATTTGACCAAAATAATTATTTTATGCAATCACGTTATAGTCAAATCGAATTTCTGAATAAAATTTTAAAATGACACATATTTTGAAACGAACATAATGTAATTTATTAACAGTTATGTGCGACGCGCGAGTTGTGTACTAAGTTAAAATAGATATTTTTATGTAATTTTGCAAAATTTAAATTTTATATAATATTTTCAATAAAGTAATATATAGGTACCATTGTATTACATATTGATTTCATGTTTTTAATTTATATATATTATTTAGTGAGAATTTTTAATTTATAAATATGAATGAATATCTCTTACCCGTGCTATCGCCCGGGATTCGTACTAGTATGCAAAGAAAGCAACATAAATAGTGCCGTGAAAATCTGATATTCATACTTTTTATACCCAAAATAAGTAGTGTTTCCTTCGACTTTGCAAATGAAGAGTTCCCATCGGCTCGAATTCATGCTTGTACAAAAGTATATGTACACACCATATACTCCTCATATATGGGGAACTCTTTCATGTAAAAACCTCAACAAATTCTTAGCTTACCAGAAAACAAACATTTTAGGACAAAGAAGAAAAACAGAGAAAAATCACATCATTCTAGTTCACCTCACAAAATACACAATAAACAGAACAAGCCAGAGGAAAACCCAAAGAAAAAAACGAAGGGAATTAATTAATTAACCCGACGTACTTGCACCGTTATCGACCTGACTAACGTGGGAATTCGGGACCAAGATATCGACCCCCGAAACAAAAGTGGTGGTGTCGTTGAATTTCCAGCCGGTTAGGTAACCGGGCCTTGTGGTGACAGCTGGCACCTCCATGTCACCCGACAGCATGGCCACCACTCGCGACATTGGTGGCCTTAGGGCGGGGCTCGCCTGCGTGCACAGAAGGGCAATGTCGATTATCTTCCTCACTTGGTGTGGATTGTATTCGTGCAGAGTCGGGTCGGCTAAGTTGAGTTGTTTGTTGTCCTCATGAAGGTTCCAAGCCTTCAACAATATATACGTGATTAGTGTTGTTAAACTAAACGATCCCGAGCTCATTTAAATCTGGTGAGCTCGGCTCGATAAGGCTCGAAAAGAGAATTTTTATATAATTTTCTACGGTTCGGCTCATTAAAGCTCGAGATCGGCTCGTTAATAGTAATAAACGAGTTGAACTCAAGCTCAAGCTCAATTTATGGCTCGTTAAGGGCTCGAGATTGGGTTTGGCTCATTTACAAGCATATAGGTGATATCGCGTGTTTTTTTTATCGTGAGTAGTTTTTCCGAAGGATAACTTGTGAGCGAGAGCATTAAGGTTCGAAAAAAGCATACATACCCACTCGAGAAGATATACCATATCATCTTCCAAACTTGAGTCGGAATTCGGTCTTCCACTCACGATCTCGAGAGCCACAACTCCGAAGCTAAAAATATCAGCCTTCTCGGTTAGATGTCCGAGCACGGCATATTCCGGCGCTAGATACCCACTACACTAATAAAAGAAATTCAATTTAT